GCGTGGCCTGGGTGAGCCACGACAGCACCCTCTGCCTCGCCGATGCCAACAAGAAGATGGCGTAAGCAGGGCTGGGGAGTGGAGGGGGTGGGGGTGTCCGTACGGAGGGTGTCGGGGGGGTGGTTGACCTCACAACTGACCCAGGGATGGAGACATCTGGGTTGAGTTGGGCCAAGCAGACATGGATGGAGGAGCTGGTGCGTCCTCTCCTTGTAGTCTTGCGGCTTCCACCTGTGTTACGAGCTGTGCCGGTCTCAGCGCAGAGAGGCTGAAGCTCAGCTCTCTGCTAACGCCCTGCCCTCCCTCGTAGCGTGGCCTCCCTGTGCAGCGAGACCCTGCCCCTCCTGGCCGTCACCTTCATCACTGAAAACAGCCTGGTGGCCGCGGTGAGTCCGGGCTGGGGACACGGGGTGTGTGCCATGCCAGGAACCAGCAGGAAGGTGCTGAGCAGGTCTGCCCGGTTCCCCAGGGCCATGACTGCTACCCAATGCTGTTCACCTACGAGGAGAGCCAGGGCGCGCTGACCTTCGGTGGGAAGCTGGACGTCCCCAAGCAGAGCTCCCAGCGTGGCCTCACCGCTCGTGAGCGCTTCCAGAACCTGGACAAGAAAGCGAGCTCGGACACCACCAACGACACGCTGGACACCCTGCACAAGAACAGCATCAGGCATGTACTGGGGAGGCGGGTGGGTGGGGGTCAGGCTCCGCTGGGTCACCTTGGGGGCTGCTTTGGGGTGCTGGCCCTCGAGCATCCACTGGCTGTGTTGCCGTCTGGGTTTGGGAGCGGGGACAGCCCTGGAGCATCCCCAGAGCATGCCTGGCTACCCCTGGAGCATCCCTGGGCATCCCTGGGCATCCCTGGCCATCCCTGGCTATCCCTGGAGCATCCCTGGGCATCCCTGGGCATCCCTGGCCATCCCTGGCTATCCCTGGAGCATCCCTGGGCTTCCCTGGAGCATTCATGGGCATCCCTGGAGCATCCCTGGGTATCTCTGGGCATTACTGGGCATCCCTGGAGCATCCCTAGGTATCCTTGGATAGCTTTGGACATCCCCATGTGTGGGTGGGGGAGATGGAGCAGTCCAGCCCTGGGAGCTGGGACAGCCCTGGGCATCCCTGAGCATCGCTGGGTATCCCCAGAGCATCCCTGCACATGGGCGAGGGAGATGGAGGGGTCCAGCCTCGGGAGCTGGGAGAGATCTTGAGCATCCCCGGAACATCCGTGGGTATCCCTGAGCATCTCTGGAGCATCCCTGGGTTTTGCCAGAGCATCTCTGCACATGGGTGGGGGGAGATGGAGGGGTCCAGTGAGCTGGGACAGCCCTGGGTGTCCCTGGAGCATCTCTGCACATGGGTGGGGGAGGTGAAGGGGTCCAGCCCCACCGACTCCCGGGCAGCCCCGAGGGCTTGGTGGGGGCCTGGGGCTGACACCCCACCGCCTCTTTGCGCCCCCACAGCCAGATCTCGGTGCTGGTGGGCGGGAAGGCCAACTGCTCGCAGTTCTGCACCACGGGGATGGACGGCGGCATGAGCATCTGGGACGTCAAGGTGAGGTGTCCCCGCGGTGCCACGGTCCCCCCCAGGCTGGGAGCACCCGGCATCGAACCCTCGTTAGCCACAGCTCTAATTGCAGTCCCTCAGCCCGCTGCTGTGCAGCTCTTTGCTGTGGTGGTGGATCCCATCCTGCCCACGGGGTCCCGCAGTCCTGGGTGGGATCTCCTTTAACCCAGGGCCGGGTGAGGGGACACCCCTGGGTGGCACTTTCACAGGTCACCATCAGTGGGGGGGGTTGACGTGAGCCTTGCGCAGGGATCCAGCACCCTCTCCTGGCTTCGGCTTTGCCCACATGGCTTGAAAAATGAGCCAAAACCAGCTGAAATTGGGATCTCCTCCCCTCTCCACCCCAGGGGACAGCTCAGACCCCCGGGTTGTGCCCCCCTTTCAGCTCCCCAACCCCCTCCAGTTGCTTTGGAAAGCAAAAAGCTGATGACAAACGACCTCTCGCTTTGTTTTAGAGCCTGGAGTCGGCGCTGAAGGATCTCAAGATCAAATGAAGGACCCAGCCAGGAAGGGTGTCCGTCCCGGCTGCCAGCCTGCCCCTGCTCTGCCGCCCCTGCCCGCTTTCCCCCCCCGCCAGCCCCCGTGTCACGCGAGCCGGCCGCGATGCCACCAGCGCTCTTCCCCGGCTGCCAGCCAGCCCCGGCGGCTGCTCTCACACAAAGAAAACGATTTTTTTTTTAAAAAACTATTTTTGTTACCATCCTACCCGATGCTGGTCATACATCGCTTAAAGAAATAAAAAATAAAGTAAGGATTTTCCTGTATAAATCCTTTTTTTTTTATTATTTTCGGCTTTTTTTTTTTAAAAAAATAGTTCAGTGCAAACATGTGCATGATTAGACCACATCACAGCCACTGTGCCGCATGTCATCACGGGGGTTCACGTCCATCTCTGAGGATGAATCGGGACTGTGGGGATAAGGGGAATGTCACCTCCCTGTTCCCTGCTTCACAGAATCATAGACTCGTCTAGGTTGGAAGAGACCTTTAAGATCATCGAGTCCAACCATCAACCTTACACTGCCAAACCCACCGCTAAACCGTGTCCCTCAGCACCACGTCTGCCCGTCTTAAACACCTCCAGGGATGGTGACTCCACCACTTTCCTGGGCAGCCTGTGCCAGTGCTTGACAACCCTTTCGGTGAAGAAATTTTTCCTAATACCCAATTTAAACCTCCCCTGGCGTAACTTGAAGCCATTTCAGCACAGTTTCAAAACAGGATTGGTGTTAAGAGAAAAGGTAGGGGTGAGGATGGAGGTGGCAAGGCAGCGCACGTTGCTCCCAGCTCCTCCTGGACACCGGTCAGGTCCCCGTCAGGTGTCCAACCCCACGCTCACCCTCCCAACCCCACCGCTAAACCGTGTCCCTCAGCACCACGTCTGCCCGTCTTAAACACCTCCAGGGATGGTGACTCCACCACTTTCCTGGGCAGCCTGTGCCAGTGCTTGACAACCCTTTCGGTGAAGAAATTTTTCCTAATACCCAATTTAAACCTCCCCTGGCGTAACTTGAAGCCATTTCAGCACAGTTTCAAAACAGGATTGGTGTTAAGAGAAAAGGTAGGGGTGAGGATGGAGGTGGCAAGGCAGCGCACGTTGCTCCCAGCTCCTCCTGGACACCGGTCAGGTCCCCGTCAGGTGTCCAACCCCACGCTCGGGGAGCCATCTCGGCAACCTTGGGCTCCCAAACCAATCCTGCCCCTTTCCAGCCCGTTATCGCAGGCTGCCAGGCAATTTTGATCAGAGCACCTACGACTTCCACCTTCCGCATCTCTAACTCGGAGTACGAGCAAG